TGTTAGCAAGCAATTACCACTGAGTAGTGATTTCGATCCTCACTGAATGCTCCAAACATTCGGCCTTGTGCCACACATAAGTTAGAAATCATTTGGGCACTTTAACGTGGTGTAATGGTTAGCGAGCTTGTCTTGTTAGAACAATTACGACTGAAGAGTGAGTTCGATCCTCCTTGGGTGTCTCATATTTTAGCTTTGTACCACATCTAAACTACGCTTATAAGATCCTTTGTGGGCACTTCGACTGGTGTAATGGTTAACAAGCTTGTCTCGCCAGAACTATTACGACTAAATAGTGAGTTAGATCCTCTCTGGGTGCCCCATACTTTTGGCCTTGTGTCACATGTAAGCCATGCTTATAAGATCACCCTACAAGAGTTTAAATTAGCGAAGCGTTATCAGAGGAAAACAACAGAATCATTTATAATTAGATGAAGTTAGTTTGGTTGATTTTACGATATATGTTGGGTCATCATCATCATATTATTATTATATTTGTTATATTATTATTGTTTATCCATTTGTTTAATTTTAATTCCCCCACAAAGCTAAAGCACGCATATCATACCAAGTCGAAGCCATAGACAGATGTAGAACGAAACAGAAAGGTTTCGTTTCTAACGGCCAACCATTTTAACTTCTCTTCTTTGATAGAGAAATGTAGTTGATCGTTTTAGACAATGAGTTCAACTAAAGTTTTGTTCTTCTATTTAGCATTGACTTGGTTCAGGGATAAATATTTGTGGTTCATATTTGAGCCTGTAAGCATTTACGTGGTTCGAGATAGATAGGTATTTGTCGTTCATATTTGAGCCTGTAAGCATTTACGTGGTTCGGGATAGATAGGTATTTGTCGTTCATATTTAAACGTATAAGGATTTAATTGGTTCAGGGATAGATAAATATTTGTGGTTCATATTTGAGCCTGTAAGCATTTACGTGGTTCGAGATAGATAGGTATTTGTCGTTCATATTTGAGCCTGTAAGCATTTACGTGGTTCGGGATAGATAGGTATTTGTCGTTCATATATAAACGTATAAGGATTTAATTGGTTCAGGGATAGATAAATATTTGTGGTTCATATTTGAGCCTGTAAGCATTTACTTGGTTTGAGATAGATAAAGGTATTTGTCGTTTATATTTGAGCCTGTAAGCATTTACTTGGTTTGGGAATAGATAGGTATTTGTCGTTTATATTTGAGCCTGTAAGCATTTACTTGGTTCGGGATAGATAGGTATTTGTCGTTCATATTTAAACGTATAAGGATTTAATTGGTTTGGGATAGATAAATATTTGTGGTTCATATTTGAGCCTGTAAGCATTTACTTGGTTTGGAGATAGATAGGTATTTGTCGTTCATATTTGAGCCTGTAAGCATTTACTTGGTTTGGGAGATAGATAGGTATTTGTCTTTCATATTTAAACCTGTAAGGATTTAATTGTTTGGGGATAGATAAAATTTGTGCGCTTTCATATTTGAGCCTGTAAGCATTTACTTGGTTTGGGGATAGATAAATATTGTCGTTCATATTTAAACGTATAAGCATTTAATTGGTTCAGGAATAGATAAATATTGTGGTTTATATTTGAGCCTGTAAGCATTTACGTGGTTTGGGATAGATAAATTTGTCGTTCATGTTTAAACCTATAAGCATTTAATTGGTTTGGGAATAGATAAATATTGCGCTTTTATATTTGAGCCTGTAAGCATTTACTTGGTTTGGGATAGATAGGTAAATTTGTCGTTTCATATTTAAACGTATAAGGATTTAATTGGTTTGGGGATAGATAAATATTTGTTGTTCATATTTGAGCCTGTAATCATTTACGTGGTTTGGAGATAGTAAATATGTCGCTTTTATCGTTCAGCCTTTAAACATTTACTTGGATTGGGAATTGGTTCAGGGATAGATAAATGTAAGCATTTACTTGGTTTGGGAATAGGTTTGAGCTTTTATGTGATGCATTTACGTGGTTTGGGGATAGATAGGTATTTGTCGTTCATATTTGAGCCTGTAAGCATTTTTGGTTTGGTTCGGGATAGATAGGTATTTGTCGTTCATATATAAACGTAGCCTGTAAGCATTTAATTGGTTTGGGGATAGATAAATATTTGTGGTTCATATTTGAGCCTGTAAGCATTTACTTGGTTCGGGAATAGATAGGTATTTGTCGTTCATATTTGAGCCTGTAAGCATTTACTTGGTTTGGGAATAGATAAATATTTGTCGCTTTTATACTTGAGCCTGTAAGCATTTACTTGCGTTTCGGGATAGATATATTTGTCGTTAATATTTAAACTCTTTTATATAGCCTGTAAGCATTTAATTGGTTTGGGGATAGATAAATATTTGCTTTCATATTTGAGCCTGTAAGCATTTACTTGGTTTGGGAATAGGTAAATATTTGTCGTTTATATTTGAGCCTGTAAGCATTTACTTGGTTTGGGAATAGATAAATTTGTCGCTTTTATATTTAAACCTATAAGGATTTAATTGGTTTGGGGATAGATAAATATTTTGGTTCATATTTGAGCCTGTAAGCATTTACTTGGTTTGGGATAGATAAATTTGTCGTTTATATTTAAGCCTGTAAGCATTTAATTGGTTTGGGAATAGATAAATATTTGTTTTTATATTTGAGCCTGTAAGCATTTACTTGGTTTGGGATAGATAAATTTGTCGTTCATGTTTAAACCTATAAGCATTTAATTGGTTTGGGAATAGATAAATATTTGTTTTCATATTTGAGCCTGTAAGCATTTACTTGGTTTGGGATAGATAAATATTTGTCGTTCATATTTAAACCTGTAAGCATTTAATTGGTTTTGGGAATAGATAAATATTTGTTTTCATATTTGAGCCTGTAATCATTTACTTGCTTTTGAGATAGATAGGTATTTGTCGTTCATGTTTAAACGTATAAGGATTTAATTGGTTTGGGGATAGATAAATATTTGTGGTTTATATTTGAGCCTGTATGCATTTACTTGGTTGGGGATAGAAGGTATTTGTCTTTCATACTTTAAACGTATAAGGATTTAATTGGTTCAGGGATAGATAAATATTTGTGGTTCATATTTGAGCCTGTATGCATTTACTTGGTTTGGGATAGATAAATTTGTCGTTCATATTTAAACCTATAAGCATTTAATTGGTTTGGGAATAGATAAATATGGTTTATATTTGAGCCTGTAAGCATTTACTTGGTTTGGGGATAGGTAAATAGGTATTTCGTAATCATTTCATATTTGGGAAAACGTAAAAGCTTTTTATACTTGAGCCTTTAATTGGTTTTGGGATAGATAAATATTGTGGTTCATATTTGAGCCTGTAAGCATTTACTTGGTTTGGGGATAGATAGGTATTTGTCGTTCATATTTAAACGTATAAGGATTTAATTGGTTCAGGGATAGATAAATATTTGTGGTTCATATTTGAGCCTGTAAGCATTTACGTGGTTCGGGATAGATAGGTATTTGTCGTTCATATTTAAACGTATAAGGATTTAATTGGTTCAGGGATAGATAAATATTTGTGGTTCATATTTGAGCCTGTAAGCATTTACGTGGTTCGAGATAGATAGATATGTATTTGTCGTTCATATTTAAACGTATAAGGATTTAATTGGTTCAGGGATAGATAAATATTTGTGGTTCATATTTGAGCCTGTATGCATTTACGTGGTTCGGGATAGATAAATTTGTCGTTCATATTTAAACGTATAAGGATTTAATTGGTTTGGGAATAGGTAAAATATTTTTTATATTTGAGCCTGTAAGCATTTACTTGGTTTGGGAATAGATAAATATTTGTCGTTTATGTTTAAACCTATAAGGATTTAATTGTTTTGGGGATAGATAAATATTTGTGGTTCATATTTGAGCCTGTAAGCATTTACGTGTTTCGAGATAGATAGGTAAATTTGTCGCTTTCATATTTAAACGTATAAGCATTTAATTGGTTCAGGGATAGATAAATATTTGTGGTTCATATTTGAGCCTGTAAGCATTTACGTGGTTCGGGATAGATAGGGATTTGTCGTTCATATTTAAACGTATAAGGATTTAATTGGCTCAGGGATAGATAAATATTTGTGGTTCATTTTTGAGCCTGTAAGCATTTACGCCATTCGGGATAGATAGGTATTTGTCGTTCATATTTAAATGTATAAGGATTTACTTGGTTCGGGGACAGATAAGTATTTGACGTTCATATGCATTTACGTGTTTCTGGGATAGATAAATACTGGTCGCTTATAAATGAGTTTATCAGCATTACTTGGTTCGGTGATAGATAAATAAGTTGTCCTTCAGATTTAAACCTTTTACTTACTCCAGAGATAGATAGATATTGATATTTAAGCCCATAAGCATTTTCTTGGTTTCCTGAATAAGTAAATATTCGTCAATTACAGTGATTTCCCAAGGCCGAAAGTATGGGATCGAATTCACTACTTGATCTAGCGAGACAAGCTTGGTAACCCTTATACCGCCTCAAGGTACCCTATATTGATTTTCTAAGCGTAGCTTAGATGTGGCACAAGGCCGAATGTATGGGGAACTCAGTGAAGATCGAACTCACTATTCAGTCGTAACTGCTTTAGCGAGACAAGCTTGCTAATCAGACACCACGCCGAAGTGTCCTTATTCGTTGATTATAGCGATTTTCTAAACCCGGTTTAGATGTGGCACAAGGCCGAAAGTATGGGGTACCCAGTGAGGATCGAACTCACTACTCAGTCGTAACTGATCTAGCAAGACAAGCTTTCTAACCATTACACCTCGTCGGGGTGTCCTTATTCGTTGATTATAACTGAATTTCTGTTTGTTCCAGCGAGAGTTAGATACTGTTCTAAGTCAAAATATAAGCATATTTCTTTTTATTTTATGCCGCTTTTGATTTCATAATGTTAGCGATCATGACTCTCCACAATTTCTTATCCTTTTTAGCTCTAAGAAATGTGTGTTTAAAAACAGTAGGAGAAAAAACATTGTTCATGTTTTGCCATTCATTTACGTTCTATATATCTGATACTGCTCATATCTATCTATCTGTCTCATACTGTTCATATCTATCTACCTGTCTGTCTATCTATCTATCTTTCTATCTCATACTTTTCATTATCTATCTCATACTGTTCACATCTACCTATGTATAAATACTATATACTGTTCATATCTATCTTATACTGTTCTTATCTATCTATCTATCTATCTATCTATCTATCTATCTGTCTGTTTATCTAGCTGTGCATATATCTATCTCATTCATTATCTATCTCATACTCTGCATATCTATATTATACTGTTCATATCTATTTTTCTCTCTGTCTGTCTGTCTATACTTTTCATTATCTATCTATCTATCTATCTATCTGTCTGTCTGTCTGTCTCATACTGTTCATATCTATCTCATAATATTTATATCTATATATCGCATATCTTTTCATTATCTATTTGTCTCATACTTTTGACATCTATCTATCTTATACTGTTCTTATCTATCTATCTAGCTATCTATCTATATGTCTGTCTATCTATCTGTCTGTCTATCTATCTGTCTGTCTGTCTGTCTGTCTATCTACCTATCTCATACTATTCATTATCTGTCTCATACTGTTCACATCTATCTTAGACTCTTCATATCTATCTTATACTGTTCATATCTATCTATCTATCTATCTTAGTATATTCCTATCAATTTATACTCGCCTTCCTCGAGCACACTTATCATTTTTAATTGTAATTTGTGGTATAGCTTGACATTTCCTCGAGTACCACCAAAACACTTGGATAACACGATGGCTCGCGTGCAAACTTGAGGAAGCTTACCCTTCATCATACTCATTCCATTTCTTCGCCGGCAGATACATTTTACTTACTTTTACGCCTGCGAAATTCTCATGAAATGCCGTAGAGTTTCAACGAATTCGTGCTGGCAAATTAGAATCAGCAACAAATCTTCTCTTCCATTCCAAATAATTGTGTCTGGGTGTGTATTTTTACAGGTGCCTGTATTCCTGTATGCAAACATTCTTAATAAGTCTAAGCATTTAGACCATGTGGAATTGGTAATGATTCTAAAATAATATTTTTATATTATTTTTCCTTTGATATTATTATGTATAATTTTTTTCAAAATCTGTTTTATTTATTTATCATTGAGGCCGCGCCATCAGATTTGTAATTAGAAATGATCAACTTGCAGTCCAATGACAAGCCGAAAAAACAACTAGACGGAAAGAAATTTAACTGACGTTCCTAAGTGCCTTCCAGACGACAGATAGTCTACTTTAAGTCAGAAGACATTTTAACAGTTAAATCTCTATATGCCGTATATACTCGCACTTCTCGCTTGTGGAACTCTGTTCCGGCTTCTTGCTACCCAGACAACCTTGATCTTGAAAAATTAAAATACAATGTCAATCGTTATCTTCAGTCCTCTTAATTCTTGTTCTTTTATTGTTTTCTCTCCTTAATAAGGGTATTAGCACGTAAGTGAATGTAATGGTTTCGAGTTCGAACTCCAGTTGAATCCATTACACTCACTTACGTGCTAATACCCTTGGGAAAGGTATGAATCCTCTTCTTCTCCTCCCATCTATGGGTAAATAGCAGAACAGACCGGGTTATATAGCCTTGGATGGCAACTGGTCTACCGTAGAAAGAAATGGCAACCTCTTGCGGGAAAATAATCTGCCTCGTCAGTCATGTATCGAAAGATACATTATCACCTAAGCGTCTATCACGCATGGTGCATAACTGACTGACTATGGGTAAATAGCTGGACAGACTGGGTTCTATAGCCTTGGATGGCAATTGGTCTACCGCAGAAAGAAATGGCAACCTACTGCGGGAAAAAATCTGCCTCGTCAGTCATGTATCGAAAGATCGCTTAAGCGTGTATCACGCATGGCACATAACTGACTGACTATGGGTAAATAGCAGGACATATCGGGATCTATAGCCTTGGATGGCAACTGGTCTACTGCAGAAAGAAATGGCAACCTACTGCAGGAAAAAATCTGCCTCGTCAGTCATGTATCGAAAGATTACATAATAGCCCACACGTGTATCACTCATGACTCTTTAACAATATATTTTTCTCATATTCTCTTACACTCAGTGGGCTCTTGCTTCTTAGTGGCTTTATTGCCTTGCCTGACTATGAAATGGTTAAACAAAAAACTGATTTTTTCATATAGGTCGTGTATAATGCGTCCCCAACTTCTGAGCCTTACTAGTAGGACTAGAGTAGTCAAATATTGCATCGTCCTGGTCATAATTTATAGCAAATAAATGGTTTTCATTTTTTGTGTGTGTGTGTGCAAAGCTACACCAAAACCTTGTGAAAGACGACTTCCGTCAAAATATCTGACACGAAAATTTAGATCCCGTAGTTTTGTTTGAGTTTTGTTTGATTCCTAACTACAGTAACTCCTTTATTCTGGGCCTGTCTCCGAAATAGATTTTAAGCGGCAAGCATCGTGTATGACGTCCTGCTGTTCATGTAGCAAGAGAAAAAGAATCTAAGCTACCAGAGGCAGGCTAAAGGAGCTTACCTTTACCGTTAATGTTAGGTAAAGGTACCACGAGAATGTAGGCCTACGCTCTTCAAAAAGAATTACCTCTGTATATTGCGACCCCCAATTTTTGTGTAAAAAAAAAAAACTGATCATAAAACATCGCACTATACTCAAGTATATTTCTTACCCCATTCCTCACACATTTTTCTATGTTTAAACTGAAGGATGTTTTACCGCACTAATTGAGTATTATGCATGCACTAATCGAATTTTGGTATATAAAATGTCAGTGCACTAATTGACAACGCATTATTGGAGGGATTCCTGTATATATATATATATATATATATATATATATATATATATATATATATATATATATATATATATATATATATAATACATAAAAGGTTAATGGTTAGATTTGAATCAGACCACGGAACGGTAGTATTAAAAAGTGCTTAATACACGTGTCAAAAAAAATAAAATAAAAGTAAAAAATAACATGAAGAGTTTTAACTTTAAAATCAGAAGATCAATTGAATCCGCTATATATATATATATATATATATATATATATATATACACACACACACACACACACACACATATATATATATATATATATATATATATATATATATAATTTTTCATATACAAAAAAACAATTCACTCACGACAAAGAGACATTTAGTTGCACCTCGACTATTTTGGTTCTCACCAGTCGAAGTGTAACTAAATGCACCGAAACGTCGTAGGATGGTGTATGGCCGCCTTTGGCTGTAATTACAGCTTGAATTCTACGTGGTATGGCAAAACAGTCTGAAGTTCTTTTAGTGATGTCGGAAATAAGGTAAAGAATGACTCGTCCGAGAAAATAACATTCTTCCATTGTTCTACGGATCAGTTCTGTAGGTTTCTACTCCACTCTAAACGCTTTGCAATATCGCTTTGTGAATGGGAGTAGTTTTCGGATTACATTCCTCCCTCGAAATCCGGCTTTGTTCAGCTCCCTTCTTACAGTTTTTGTGTAAAAATGTTTCTCGAGATGGTCATTAAGCTCTGTTGTAATTTTCGAAGCTGTATTCTTGTGGTCCTTCCTAACAATCGGCATAAGATTCCGACGGTCTCTATCAGAAGAGTTTTGCTTCAGTGAGGAGGTTTTTTCCCTTCTTTCTCAAATGCTGTCATTACTTTCGAGACAGTACTCCTTGCTAAACCAAATAATTCAGCGGTTTTTGTTACACTAGCGTCTTCCATACGAGCACCAACAATTTGACCTCTTTTAAAGTTTGATATAGCTGCCATTTTAATGAATTTTGATTCGTCGCCTCTGATGATATCTGTAAAAAAAAACAACAATTTTAGTAAAATAAGACAAGAAAAAATAATAATAGATCAAAAAACTTAAAAATAAATGTTTGATGGTTTTATAAGAGTTCCAAATTTATGATACTAAGATTCTAGGTGTTTCCATTATTTTGTCCAACCCCTGTGTGCATGCATATATATATATATATATATATATATGGTATAAAATGACAATTGGAAAAAATCATACATTTTGCCGACGCGTTTCGTCTTCCGACTTTTTCAAGGCAAAAATGAAATCGAAATGTTTTCGTTGTTATAGTTACATTAAAAAATCCAAATTTAAAAAGATCTTGGAATTTAACTAACAAGATCTAAAAGGTCAACCAATCTAACAGTGATCTCATTTCACAATCCTCACACTTGCTCCATATGTGGCATCTTTTGTAAATCACTAGTGGGTCTTAAATGCCACTTAAGATTATCGCACAAAATTTCTTAACTGAATCAATAAGCTGTCAGATCCTCATACGTCGAAACCTACGGGAGATTCCATCATTACTATTATATATATATATATATATATATTTGGTTGGATAGATGTGAGTTTGTGACCCTGGGTTTCACGCTTTAGCGATCGTCAGTTTGTCTGACGATCGCTAAAGCGTGAAACCCATCTATCCAACCAAATATGTTAGCTCTATCTCTGATATTGAGCGCTTTCTAATAAGTACCGCGAATATAATATATAAATAATGATACATATATATATATTTATTTATATTTATATACACTTTTCACACACACACATATATATATATATATATATATATATATATATTATGCCTAATCCACTTAGATTAGCCATATATATAAGAATGGCGATTTTCTAATCACAGATTAGATGTTTCACAAGTATAGGGCACCCAGTGAGGATTAAACTCACTATTCAGTTGTTATTGATCTAGCGAGACAGTCTTGATAATCTTAGATACACAAGGCGAAAAGCGTGGCGTATCCAGTGAGGATCGAACACACTCATAATTAATCTAGCAAATAATGTAAGAATATGGGGCCGGGGGGGGCGGTGCTCTTGCGAAAAATGAAAAACTAAAAGAGTAAAGTAATCAAATTCTTTTTTCACGGGGAGAGGGGGTCCTTTCACGTCTTTTATTTTTTTGTTCTGAATTCCAGCTACCAAATGTGATAATTAGATATGGAAAATGGCAAAACGATTCCTCTGTAGAAAACGTGATGGGAAACATATTTACTAACTGGAAATTATTAGAATTTATTTTGGATAATAAAAATTGTCAGAATGCTTTTGAACGATACTACACTGGCGGGCCACATTTTGGGGGCCACGTTATTAAATTAATTACTTTTTGTTAATTGAAAGTGCTTTAGTCAGCTATGTGCCATGTGTGATACACGCTTAGGCGATCATGTATCTTTCGATACATAACTGACGAGGTAGAATTTTTGCCGCAGTAGGTAGCCATTTCTTTCTGCAATAGACCAGTTGCCATCAAAGGCTATAGAACCCGGTATTTCATGCTATTTATGAGAAGGGAGAAGAGGATTCATACCTTTTCCATGGGTATTAGCACGTAAGTAACGGAGTCGACTTGAATTCGATATATATATATATATATTTTGTCAGCAGTCAATAACCACATAACACCCATGAGTGCTTAGCCTTGGGGCGGGTAGAATGGAGATCAACGTGTTTTAGTGGACTCAGAAATTTTCATTCTGCTTGTCTGAATCAACTTCAAGAAGCGAGAGCAAGATCTAAAAGGTCAGCCAATCTAACAGTGATCTTATTTCACAATCCTCACACTTGCTCCATATGTGGCCTCCTTTGTAAATCACTAGCGGGTCTTAAATGCCACTTAAGATTATCGCACAAAATTTCATAACTGAATCAATAAGCTGTCAGATCCTCATAGGTCGAAACCGACGGGAGATTCCATCATTATTATTATTATTATTATTATTATTATATATTCCACGCCACTCAAAACTTGGACTCTCTCGATCAGAAGCCTTGCTGCCTCATGTAGTTTATCGACCTACCCAGGACTATTTAAAAAAAAAAAAAAAAAAAAAAAAAAAAAGCTATGCAAAAATTTCACCTATCAGCTCTTTTCTTAAGTTAAAAAGAAATTTTTCTATCCGTTACAGAAAGTACAAAACGTAGAAAGCATCAGTCTCTCTCACGAGAAAGGTAGTGCCCTATTTGATGAACATTCTGTCCTTTGGGGATGAGACTGGAGTGACTAGTGCAAGTCTGGGCAATATCATATGGATAGCCGTACGCCGCCAAGATATGGTCCGTCGGCCTCTCTCTCTCTCTCTCTCTCTCTCTCTCTCTCTCTCTCTCTCTCTCTCTCTCTCTGCCGTACCGACAAGACCCAAAGAAGTGCAGGGCATTATATACAAATGTCAAGGTATGGAGTTAGTAATTAATGTTACTACGTTTGACTCAAATAACTGCCTCAATTGTGTGTGGCATTGAATACAACAACGTCCAGATTTTCTCATTGGGAATTTTTTTTCACATTCTTCTTGATAGTAATCCCAAAGCTCTTGGAGATTACATGGTTTTCGTTGAAGCACTTATTTCTTCAGTTCCCACCACAGTGTTTCAATTGAAATAAGGACTTTGTCCAAAACTGGAACAGCTTCATCCACGGGAAATATTTTCGTTGTACGTGATGTGTGACAAGAAGCACTGTCATGCTGAAATATTTCTCCATCTTCGTTGTCTGTCAGAAGATTAAACCGTAGTAAACAAATATAATTTTCGGTGTTTAGGTTCCCATGAACTTTTACCAATTTTCTTCTATCATCGATATTGATACAACGCCACACCATTACATGTCCATCAACAAATGTTGCCGCCCTTGTGATGCATCTTTGATACAACGCCACACCATTACATGCCCATCAACAAATGTTGCCGCCCTTGTGATGCATCTTTGATACAACGCCACACCATTACATGCCCATCAACAAATGTTGCCGCCCTTGTGATGCATCTTTGATACAACGCCACACCATTACATGCCCATCAACAAATGTTGCCGCCCTTGTGATGCATCTTTGATACAACGCCACACCATTACATGCCCATCAACAAATGTTGCCGCCCTTGTGATGCATCTTTGATACAACGTCACACCATTACATGCCCATCAACAAATGTTGCCGCCCTTGTGATGCATCTTTGATACAACGCCACACCATTACATGCCCATCAACAAATGTTGCCGCCCCTTGTGATGCATCTTTGATACAACGCCACACCATTACATGTCCATCAACAAATGTTGCCGCCCTTGTGATGCATCTTTGATACAACGTCACACCATTACATGCCCATCAACAAATGTTGCCGCCCTTGTGATGCATCTTTGATACAACGCCACACCATTACATGCCCATCAACAAATGTTGCCGCCCTTGTGATGTATCTTTGATACAACGTCACACCATTACATGTCCATCAACAAAAGTTGCCGCCCTTGTGATGCATCTTTGATACAACGTCACACCATTACATGTCCATCAACAAATGTTGCCGCCCTTGTGATGCATCTTTGATACAACGCCACACCATTACATGTCCATCAACAAATGTTGCCGCCCTTGTGATGCATCTTTGATACAACGCCACACCATTACATGCCCATCAACAAATGTTGCCGCCCTTGTGATGTATCTTTGATACAACGTCACACCATTACATGACCCATCAACAAATGTTGCCGCCCTTGTGATGCATCTTTGATACAACGTCACACCATTACATGACCCATCAACAAATGTTGCCGCCCTTGTGATGCATCTTTGATACAACGTCACACCATTACATGACCCATCAACAAATGTTGCCGCCCTTGTGATGCATCTTTGATACAACGTCACACTATTACATGACCCATCAACAAATGTTGCCGCCCTTGTGATGCATCTTTGTATTGTTTCTTTTTTCCATTTTGTTTTTATTCTTACGGAGCTCTTTTCCTCTTGAATTAGAATATAACTCAATTTTGAATTCATCACTATAAATAAATTTACTTTCCAGCATCCCATAATAGATGTTCTTTTGGAAACTTCAATCTTCAATTCCAATGTTTTTTTTCATTAATGATGATGTTTTTTTTCTTTTTGCTGATCTTCACCCATTCAAGTTGCTTTTCGTCATACTATATCAAGTGAAACTTCAGTTGAGTCTTCTTTCACTCCTCCCTTGTCTGTCTATTAATTTGGGATTGTTTATTGAGATTCTTACAGTCTTTCTTTCATCTCTCTTGTCTATCTGTCGTAGTCTTCCTGTTTTCATCTTAAATCACTTCCATTATCTTAAATCACTTCCATTTCGCATGATTTGAACATTGTCTCTGGAAGTTACCAGCCTGGGATATCTTTAAATCCATAACCTTCATCTTTTAACTCACAACACATTGGGTTTAGTCACTGGATCTAACTAACACCTTTATCCACTGGGCTATATGTCTTTAAGGACCGAGTTAGATTGTTCTAGTTCCACGTGCCATGACTCTTCCGGATTTCTCAGTTATTTCCATTGAACTCAACTCTCCAAGTTTTGGTTCTCCGCTGTAGTGGACTAGTATTGAACTCATAACCTTTTGGGTTTAGTCACTGGATATAGACAGATAGACAAAACAAACTCCCCCCCTTGCGTCTTAGTGACTTTATTGCCTTATTTGGGGTGAAATAATTAAACAAAAAGCTATAGTTTTCGGTGTTTAAGTTTCCATGAACTTTTACAAATTTTCTTCTATCATCGATAGAATGTTTTTTCGTTAATGATGATGATAATGATGATGTTATTTTTCTTTTTGCTTCTCTCCTCCCGTTTTGTATCAACTGAAACTTCACTGTTAAGTCTGTTTTCACTCCTCCCTTGTCTGCCTGTTAATTTGGGATTGTTTATTGACACAGTCTTTCTTTCATCTCTCTCGTCTAACTGTCGTGGTCTTCAGGTAATTTTGTTTGTTTTTGGGGGGGTTTTTTGCTCTTAAAACACTTCCTGTAGTTGCAAATGCCTTTTGGACAGTTTGAACATTGTTCAATTCTCTTTAAAGTCACGATCTTCAGATTTGTTTTAGCTATGAGTTTAGTGTAAAAATAGCAAACTAATGTTAAATTGCAATGACTTGCCAAACTATCTTACTCTCATATTAATAAGATGAACTAATTTCTACTTAGAAATTTGCATATTATCATCTCACATCTTCATTGGCCCAATAGATTTGCGTGGACTTTTTTCCGTTTCATGTTGCTTAAAAATGGTGTATCTTCTGTTACACGACACCTACAAAAACGCAACAACTTATTTTGCCATTCACAACGTCAACAGACACTACTGATAAAAGCATAGTACTAAACAATCTTAACTTAAAATAAAGATGCATAATCATTTTATGTGGTTGAGCCAAAACTTTTCACACGGCAGTGTATATATTGCAGGGTGTCCCCAAAATATATGTATCCTTCAGTTGTTAATGACTATTAACTTCTCAGTAGTTCATTTGCGCTTTCAAATTTCCAGTACCACTTCAGGGCAAATTTCCGTTGTTTATACATACATCGGCTATTATGTTAGTTTTCATACGCAAAATGAAAAGACGCTACACTTTATGGTACTAATAAAATTCGCATACCTTTTGGAACACACTCTTTCTCTCTGTGTCTCTCTCTATAAGTGTGTGTGAGAAAGAAGGAAAGTGTGTGTGTGCGTGTGTGTGTGTGTATTTGTGTTTATAAGCACGCATAGAATGACTTTCTGTCGCTACACCTCTACATCTGTCTTTACTCTGTCATGACAGAGTGGGTGGCTGTTTATTTTCCTTCATTGTTATGTGTATATACGGCGGAAACGTGTACTTAATGCTTCGTGTTTGTTTTCCCGCGCATTTACTGCGATCAACGCGCCAAGGGTTGGGCAAGAAAATATGGCTGCCGAGCAATGGCGTCACATGGAAGCCATTAACGTTCGGCACAAACGATTGGCAATGACGTAAATAAACTTCAACGCCTTTATTTTATCTTCTCTTCTCTTTCGTTTTCTTTAATGTTTATTTATTTATTTTCCGTGGCTTATTGTTTGCGAGGTTTTTTTTTTTCTGTTTGTTTTGTGACCTGTGATTTGTTGTTTGAATATATATATTTTTATGTGTTTTTTTTTTGTTTTTTTTTCCTTACTGGCTTCGTTTGTACATTGAATTTTATAAGAAAGTAGAAAAGCTAAAAGGAGAAAAGGCGTAAATAATAGAGGGAGGTGGGAAAGAAGAGAGAACGAAATAACAGCCGAGGAGAAAGAAAGGAGCGATGAGAAATTGAAGGAAGGAAAAGAAGGAAAAAGTGCGAAAATGAAAGCAACAAAGAGAAACTAAAATAAAAAGTGACACGAAAAATTGAGAAAACGAAACGAGAGAAAGAATAAACGTAAAAGCGAAAACAAGCAGAAAAAAAAATATGGAAGATGAGAAGAGAAAAAAAAATAAAAGATAAAAATGAAAAGATAAATATCAAAAAAAAGATTTATTAGGTTCTTCGAAAAGTAATATATTTTAAAGACGCAATTAAAAACACCTTCAAAATTCTTTAAACGATTTTTCTCAACGTAATCATCATTCTTAACAACCAAGAAAAACCTATATCACTTTTTCTTCTATGTGCCGTGTCCCTTCGGAACGTTGGCGGTCATGGCTCTCCCCAATTTCCTGTCCTAGAAATGCTTCTTTGACGAAAAGACAAAATTTATTCTTTATACAATTTGTCTTTTTTATAATCTCTCCATACCTTCTTCCGCCATCCATTTACTCGAGTAAATCGCCATTTGGTTATGTCATGTTTTCCTTTGAACACCCCCCTTGACTTTATCATTCCCTGTAAATATCAAATTATCCAAGAGTTTTTGTTATGGATAAGGATGTAAGTAAACTTTTAATCTAGTAATGGTTTCAATCTGTCCAATGCGTATCAAATTTTCCAAGCCTCTTTCCTCATTATGTGTCTCAGAAATTTCAACTGTTTCTTGTTGATGTTAAGTGTAAGTGTCCTTTTTGTTTCCACTTTCTCTAAAGCTTCGTCGTTGTTCACATGTTCTGGCCATGTTATTCTCAGTATCCTTCTGTAGAACCACATTTCTGTTGCTTCAAGTCTCTTCTTTATCTGTGAGGAGATTTTCCAGCATTCACTTCCATATAGGAGGAATAGAATACTACTGCATAACAGATTCGTACTCTTTCCTTTACTTCAAACGAATTTTTTTCTGTTTCTTAATACATTGCTTAGCTTTTGGAAAGCATCTTTTGTTATTACAATGCACCTTCGGATTTCGGTGTCGCACTTTCCGTTTCACTGTTCAAACACTTCCCATAAAGTTAAATTGTTGTACTTGTTTGATTTTGGTATGTCTTAAGGTCTTTCGTAAGATCTTGGTGAGCAGTCGGCGGAATATCTCTGAGAATAAGACAAAATAATCTCAGTAGATCTTTATTGCCAGGAACAAAAGATAAACGAAAATAGATGAAAAAATTATTTGACTTTATAGAAGAAAAACGTTTTCTAAAGCAGAAAAACGATATGAAAAAACTCGAAAGAAGATCTGATTGTGAAGCTGCGACATTTTTACATCTGCCGAATTGAAACGGGTTAATCCCTTGATGTCTGCAATACTTATTTCTGTGTCCGGCATCAACACATTTTATGCCCACCGATAACAAATCCTTGTGGGGCATCCAATTTTTTTTTTTCTTTTTAATCATTTCACTCCCAAGCAAGGCGATAAATTTTAAAAGCTTCTAGTAAAGACTTGAACTGGGATCGCTGGATTCAAAGTTCAGAATGCTAAACTTTACACAATAGAACCTTACGTGATGCGACATTATTTTATTTTCTCATTACTATGTAAATTCTAATGAGATTTTAAAAGGTTCTACCGAGATTTGAACTGGGGTCGCTTGATTCATATTCCAGAATGCTAACCATTACACCACAGAACCTATCGGTCTCCTACATATTTTTTATTACTATACAACTACATATGAAATTTTAAACGGCTCTACCGAGACTTGAACTCAGATCGCTGGATTCAAATTCCAGAATGTTAACCATTACATAATAGAGTGCTACTAATTTATTGTATTTTTTATTACTACCTTTCTAATAAGATTTTATAAGGTTCTATCGAAGCTTGAACCGGAATCGCTGGGTGAAAAGTCCAAAATAACTAACCATTACACTATACAAGCTTACGAACTTCTGCATTATTTTATTTTGAACTTGAACTCAGACCGTTTGCTTCAAAATTAGTGTAAATCAGAAGGTTGCTGGTTCAACATTAAAACAATGAGGCCTATCTGCCAATCTAGTCGCGCGCTTCAATTCATCTAGTCAATCCAACAAGAAGGAAAACTCATCAGAACATTTGCCATGAAAATATTTGTTGAAAAAAACAAGGTGAAGCCACGTCACGTCAGTGAGCAAGTGGCTTAAGACGAGATGTCAGGTCACGTTCGATTACATTACAGGCCCTTCTTTGGATTTTGTCAAGAATATCGAAATTTATAGTGAGAGCATCAGACCAGATATGGCAGCAGCATTCAATGCACGGACGAATAAATCCGGTAAGAAGACGCATCCTTGCTTTGCGTCCCTTTCTGTTTTGCTCACTTACCCAATTCATTTTCTATTCGTATGGCAGAAACAGAATGAATCCTACAGGAACTGCTAGTTAGAGTAGTAAGGGAAAACGAGAAGAAAGGACTATCAATAGTAAAAAGACAGAATATGAAGTTTTCAGCATGAGAAAAAGCCCAAGATTCGAGCCACGAATTGAAGATGCCAAAATCAAACGCATAGTTTAAAGATCTGGGAAGTATTTTAACAGAGGATGGAGAATATGATACGGTAAACTGACTGCACATTGGAATAGCAAATGATAGATTTCAAAATCTTAGCAAAATACTTTAGAAACAGAAAAATTTTGTTAGCAACAAAAAAAAAGAGTGCTGGACTTCTTATGTATCAGGTCATCCCATAAGTTCTGTCCGAATTTTAACTTTTTGTTAAAATGAACGAAATTTAAAGAGTATTTTATAATGTCTAATGGAGCTGAACATTATTTTATGTTGAGATGCATTTAAACTGATCAAATTTTATTTCAGAGAACAATAAAATTAAATTTTGTTTAATTAAAACCCTGCTAACATGGATGTACCCAAGAATCATTTGAGGCACATAATGCTTTATGAGTTCAAGAAAGGAAACTCAGCAGCCGAAGCGGTTAGAAACATTCACTCAGTTTATGGAGAGGAATGTGTGAATGAAAGAACTTGCAGAAGATGGTTTGCAAAATTCAGAGGTGGAGATTTCACCCTTGAAGATGAAGATCGAACCGGACGTCCAGTTGCGTTTGATGAAAAGCTTCTTGAAGCAGCCCTTGAAGAAAATCCTGCTTTATCCGTTGAGGAATTGGCAGTGGTTCTCAGTTCAAACCATACAACTGTTCATCGTCATCTTCAACAACTTGGAAAAGTTCCTAAACTTGGAAAATGGGTGCCTCATGAATTGTCTGAAAACAACCTCAAATCCCGAGTTGACGTCTCTTCTCTCCATTCTCGCCAACTTGTTTGATCTTTTTTGGATAGACTTGTGACTGGCGACAAAAAATGGATCTTTTATCGAAACATTAAGCGTCGTAGACAGTGGCTTGGTAAAGGGGAAGGACCCCAGCCACAGCCGAGAAAGGAACTTCATGAGCAAAAGGTTCTTCTTTCAATCTGGTGGGATCGCCAAGGAATAATCCACTTTGAATTCTTACCACCTAATGCAACAATTAATGCTCAAATATACTGTCCGCAATTAGAGCGTTTGAACCAAGCTTTGAGGAAAAAAGGCCTGCTCTAGGGAATCGAAAAGGGGTGATGTTTCATCAGGACAATGCGCGACCCCACACAGAAAGAATCACGTCACAAAAGATCGAAGAACTTGGTTGGGAGAAAATTCCTCATCCACCTTATTCTCCCGATCTTGCTCCTTCAGACTACCATTTGTTTCGTAGCTTACAGAATCATTTGGAAGAAACAGCTTTTGTAACACAGGAAGAGGTTAAAACTGACATTTGTGAGTACTTCGAATCAAAACCAAAAGAATTTTACAGTAATGGAATTAGTAAGCTTGTTAATAGATGGAAGGAAGTCATAGATAATCAGGGAAAATACATTGTTGATTGAATCTGTAATTAAATGTAACATTTGGTCACTTGTTTTCTTTATTCAAAATTCGGACAGAACTTATGGGATGACTTGATAATATGCCTATATAGCAGTGAAGGCCAAACAATTTCCTCACTGATGAAGAGGATATGTAAGGCGACAGAAATATAATTCGACAGAACGATACTGAGGCCACCAATGTAACCAACAAAGGAAGACTTAATAAAACGGACACAAAAACGAAACTTAGAATAAGAAAAAAACGTAATGAAGAAAGAAGGATTGGAAAATTTGACACTCAAAGGACTTACTGAAGGCATATGGAACAGAGGAAGATAGTGAAGTAACCTACCTCACAAGCTTGTTTAAGCAGATGGTACAATAGGGAGTGAGAGTTTAGGGTTGCGTAGAAAGACGATCGACCTTCTCGACACTTATTGTTGAACATGGACTCGTCCATCCGCTATGAGTAGAACGAACGTCTGTCAAAAGGAACGGTCGTCGCAAAGTGGGTCGCAAGGTGTAGCGGTTGTGCCGTACGCATTGCTGCACTGAGCTACGGTATTCTCTATTGCTGCATTATTAATCCACTCAACCTTTTTTCTCCAGTGTTTCCTTACAGCATTATTAACCAGAACTACGAACGTTGAACGAAATTTATAACACAGTCACACATTGTTAAGAGATAAGAATAAGGATAAGAAATTGTGGAGAGTCATGATCCCCCACATAGAAGAAGAAACCTTCAGAATTCTTTCAGCAAGGAGTAAAAGAATTAGTTTCACGCTAGTCTGTATTTACCATTTCACCAACCCATGGTGGCATGATGTGACGTAAGGCCGGTTTTACTGTAAGATGCTCATATGCATATAGGGCAAAGAGAAAAACAGCCATCTCTCTCTCTCTCTCTCTCTCTCTCTCTCTCTCTCTCTCTCATAGCTTACATGAGGAGTAAGTTGGTCATTGCTAAGGATCATAATGGTTGTGCGTGTGGCGTAACAGTTATCGGCGCAGAAAATGTAATCGGCGGGTCGAGTTCAAGTCACAACATAGTTGCGTTCACTTTCGAATAAATGCCCTTGATAAATACATATATCCGTCTCTTCTTTCCCCTACGATGGGTTAAGCAGCAGAGTAGCCAGTGCTTCCAACCAGTCTAGGAGAAGAACTACTCTAAATTCCAAACTGTGGAGGAAACAATTGGAGACTACTTCACTAGATTTCCCAATAAATCGTAACAATTCGGAAATAATAAAGAAAAAATTCTACAGAGAACTTTAATCGCCTACGTTTAGAAGTGACATGGCATTTTTAAATAAATGAGGATTATTGTGCTCTTGATATATAAATTTGTTATATTTTTATGCTACATTTGATTATTTTTTTTTTTAAATCTGTGTGGTTGCACCAATTCATCCTAAATGCTGGGAGAAATATTTTTTTAACCAATGTTCTTTAACTATTAGCCTCTAGAATAACATAATCATTACCGCTCACCCAATAACTGTTAGGAAAATACAGTAGACCTTCTACCCATAATGCACCATTACTCGTTATGTATAAATAGTCGAGCTAAAAGACAACACACATGGCCTAAAGACTGGGTTTAAGCATGAAACAGTCTGTTGCCGCTGCGTGTTGACTTCAATGTCCATTTTTATATTTCATATTTACATACACTTTATGCGTGATATTGAACATTTTAACCCATAAATATTGGATGCGATGGGTGAATTGTCGTCTAAATTACGCAAAAATGAAAATAACACTGACATCTCATTTTAACAGATATACAGGGTGCGAGGAGTAAATTGTCGTCTAAATGAGGCAAAAATAAAAATAACACTGACGTCTCATTTCAAAAGAAACACTTAGCAAAATTACACGAAAATATCTTTAAATAAAACTAGAGAGTAAATTTAAAAAACTAAAAACTAAAATCGCCATTGGTTTCAACCACGTCCTCCAGACGACTTCAGAATCTCCAGCAACTCTTCTGGGCGGTCTCCTTGTTTAAGTTGGTGAATGCTGTCATAATCATTGACTTCAGTTCATCTTTAGTGCTACAAGGAGTTTTCTTAGCCTCTCGCTCAACTGCACCTCGCATAATAATCAAGGGGATTGCACTCTGAGGAGTTAGGTGGCCAGATGTAAGTGTTGATGTGGTCGCAGAAATTGTCTGACAGCCATTGTAATGTTCTGTGCAAGAGGCTATCGATACTTGCTAGGCATCGATTAATGCCTTGATAGAATGTTAGCATGGTTGTTGATTGTCCCTCGGGTGATGGTAGCCTCCTATTCCCTCTTGCTGCGAACTGCTGATTAAGATTAATTAGACCTAACTCTTGTGTCTCTAGGGGTTATCTCCCTTCTGTTGCTGGGATATTACAATGCTTTCTTTTTTTTTTGTTTTTTGTTTTTTTGAGAGGGTTTTTTTTTTTTTGGTCCGGCCAAATCTTCGGATGAGCTACTTTCCAAGCCATCTTCGGACATTCCAAAGCTGCGGGAATCAAGCAAATCAAAATTGGAATCATCAGAATGAAGATCTTCTTCATCACCCTGCAATGTGAGATTCTGAGTGGAAGAAATAGTTATGGTCTGGTTTGGAGAAGAATCAAGGTCTTGGTCAGATGAAGTGTTGGACATTTTCGAACGGCTGGCATCAGTTCTAGAGGTTTTGTTATGAATTTTCTTGCGTGACTGTCTAAGGTGTAGCATTTTCTGGATGGAGTTGAGGGGAGACATGACTTGTGGCTCTGGCACAGACGGTTATGGACAAGGTGCCGACTTACATTTTGTTGACATCTGTTGGACATTTGAAGAGGAGTACAATGGATTTTGAAAATCTGTTGAAGCAACTGTTGTTGGAGGTTTCTTAACTTTTTGATAAAACTTGAGAGCGCCTTCATAAACATCATTTTGAGGACGCAAATATGTTGCATTTTGTGACAATCTCTTGCTTTGTTGGAAACTGCTAGAAGCAGTTGATGAAGGAGTGGCAGGAAAATTCTGTTGACAACATTTAAGCTTCAATTCATTTATTTCATGTGACATTCTCTTCATTTCTGTGCACAGCATTTCTTGCATTTGGATGAAGTGTCTCTCCAAAGACAGATGGGATTTTCGTCGTTCGTTATCCAAAAGAGATGATAACTGGTGAATATTGGTGTGGGCGGTCATCAATTCTTGTTTATAAAGAGCGTTTTCAGCTTCAAGTTTCTGGACTGTGGAATTGATTTTGTGGAGAGTTTGTGATTGTTCATCAAGTTGCCCTTTTATTTGGTTGGGAAGCCCCAAAAATAAAGATGAACTCCTGTTTGCTGGAGTATCCATTTCAATTGGAGGTGGCAAGTTCCGAGCTCCAGCTCTGTGGAACAGGTATTCTGTACCACTACCACTGCTATGTGGGTTCCGTTGGTCGTTTTCAATGCGGTTCACTGAGCGTCGATTGGTCTGTGTTCGTGGGGGACGATTTGTTTCCCGTTGTCTGTTTCCGTCGTTTAATCTTCTGAAACAGACAGAGGTGATGTGTCCCCACCTTCCGCAGTATGTGCACTGGGTATGAAATGCCGGGAAAGACGTCGGTCCCCGCTCATGACGGTATTTTCTGTTGCAATTCCTGCACTGGTATTGCCGGGGATAGTTGCTTGGTTGGCGCTGTTCGTCCGCGACTTTGTTTATTGGGGCGGTTGTAGCAGTAGCGGTGTTGTTGTCTTCCAGTCGCATTGTTTGTAGGTGCGACGCTATCGTCTCCGTTGTCCTTGCGTAGTTTATTAAGTCATGTAGTGACATATCCGAGTACATGAGTCCCTTCTGGCGGACTTTTTCCGACAGGCAGCCTGTAATTAATTGGGACTTCACCTCGGAATCCATGTCGGAAAAAACGGCACATAGCCGCAGCTTCCTTCAATTTGCAGTAGAAGTCTTCGATGTCTGGGCTATTTTGTTTAATTTTTCGGAACACGAATCGGTTGTATTCCGTGTCGTTTTCAGGGTTGAAGTGGTTGTGCACCGCTTAGACAAGCTTGTCGAAATGTGTTTCATTTTTTTCCGGTGTGACTCGCTCCTGTGGTATTTCGTCGATGATGTTGTTCGTAGCCTCGCCGACAAACGTTAGTAGGATGGCTTTTTGCCGTTTGTCATCCTCAATGTTATGTGCGACAAAATAGTTTTTCAGTCTTTTTATGTATTTTGTTCATCTTGCTGCTTTGGCTGTTGACTCACAATCAAATTCGGGGTAGTGTGGAACGGCGGCCATATTGGTTATATATCGAACACGTGTTGAATTTTTGTTTCTTTTTTTTTTAAGTGTGTTGATGTTCTGTTTTTGTGAAGGTAACGACTCAGTCCTCGTCGCCAATGTAATGTTCTGTGCAAGAGGCTATCGATACTTGCTAGGCATCGATTAATGCCTTGATAGGATGTTAGGATGGTTGTTGATTGTCCCTCGGGTGATGGTAGCCTCCTATTCCCTCTTGCTGCGAATCTGCTGATTAAGATTAATTAGTCCGGAGGGGACCTAACTCTTGTGTCTCTAGGGGTTATCTCCCTTCTGTTGCTGGGATATTACAGCCATGACTGGGTTCACCTGCTTTTGTGACGTGATGCAAAGTCCGGTTGCAGCCACCTTCTTGACTCAGGACAGCACTACCTCCACATGGCACCTGTTGTAGGCCTCCATGTTGAATCTGAGGCACTGTGGGAAGATGAATGGAGGCATCACTCCAAACACCTTCGTAATCCCCATTAGTGGATGGGGTTTATTGTGTTTGAAAGAAAATGAGAAACATTATTAAGGGGCGAGAACAACAAAAGAGGAACCAAGAAGACAGTAGATAAAAAAGAGTCTGTAGTATATCGTTTTTTTAACGTATTATTAGTAGCAGTAGTAGTAGTAGCATAAGTAGTGGTAGTGGTAGCAGTAGCAATAGTAGTAGCAGTGGTAGTAGCAGTAGTAGTAGCAGCATTTGTAGTATTCGTAATAGTAGTAGTAGTAGAGGTAATTTTTCACTTTTCTTTAATTTTTCAGACGTCTTATCAAACAGTTTTATACTGTAAAAGTGCATACGTTCCACAAAGGCTTTATATGCCATCTTTTTTCTAGACTTCTTAATTTTTCTCTTCCGATTTCATCTATCTTTCGAAGCCTTTCTGTAGCTTTGGGATCGGTTCTATCACTTGGCTGAACAGGAATTGATTGCAAGCCGCAAAACATTAAGAAAACAAAAACTTACCACAGAAAACAGCAGAGCATTGAAGAGAACGGAAGTGGAAGGGCGAAGAAGTGGCAAAAGTGGCTGTGCGCATGCGCCGTTCCTTGTATACGCGACAAAATTCAAAAACAGAAAAACAGCGAAAAATTAGCGGCTTGTTTTGATTAACCAAAGATCAAAAGATTGTCTGGGTTATTAGAGCCAATCAAAATGAATTGGAACACTAATCCCATTAGGCTTTGATCGATGACGGTGATCGATGCCATCTAGCAAGTCTAAGTGAATGAAATTTGCTTGAAATTAAATTTTCCCAGATTTGTCAGCGAACAAAAAGGGCCCTCGTATAAACAATGATGGATCAAAAGATAACACGAAAACTGTTTGCGTCTACGAATCTAGGCACGTATGCCTATGACGATATAGATTTACAATTATATATATATATATATATATATATATATATATATATATATATATATATATATATATTCGAGAAAATACAGAAAATATGCGTCCTCAGGGGAACCGTCCTTAGATCTGACATGCTTAACCGATTCGGCTATGTGGGACTTCTGGTTAAACAAAACCCGAAATAGTTAAAGTAAAGACATTTTCATTTTAGTAAATAGACCTTTTACTCGAAAATAAGTACCCATCTAAAATAACGTTTAAGCAAAACAAATTTATATATATATATATATATATGTGTGTGTGTGTGTGTGTGTGTGTGTGTGTGTGTGTGTGTGTGTGTGTGTGTGTGTTAGGACTTTCCAAGAAATCTTAACAAGTGTCCTTTAAAGGCATCTAGAAACTTGCACGATTGTGAAACTCTTCGTAGCCGAGTTGTGAAAGCACACGGGGTGCAGGCTGAGTCCTGGCAGAGAGTGCATTTTCTTCGATAGGTTTTCTCGAAAGACGAGATAAAATACTGTTGAAAATAAACGAAGTGTCTACTCAAATATGGGTATCAACTAAAAATAACCTTTAAAGTAATAAAAAATGTCGGATCAATAAATAAAATCCATGAATTATTATTATTATTATATATATATATATATATATATTGTGTGTGTGTGCAACGAATGCACGGCCGCAATTTTCGACGGATTTGCACCAAAATTTACATGCACATGCTCCAAGATAGCGGGAAGGCCAAGACCGACGTTGCATTTTCCAACACTCATCGATAGTGGAAATAATCGATTTTTTCATGCTTCTACGGCACTTTTAATGTAGTTTGCGGCCATTTTCTACTGGCCAGAGTGAGAGCCTATAGCTGGCTGCCACGAATAGGCAAAAAGATTCTATTGGCCAGCGTGAGAGCCAACAGCTGACTGACACGAATGTTAATTAGCATGCTAGCATGCAAAAAAAAATCGATAGCTGCATTCGTCACAAGTGGGAAAAATTTAAATCGGCATGGCACTTTACTCCAATTGGCTCATTCGCTTGCTTAAACTCAACGTTGATTCTGATTCCGCAGAACTGGGTTGGGTGTGAAAAAGTATTTGTTGTTAACATTCTTTTTTCATTCGGTTTTTCCAGTTACGAATCCTTTTTTAAAGCTGATCGTTTTGTGTTCATTTTGTTTAGTTCTTTTTTCGTAAGAGATTTAATGTTTAGTATAGAGCTTAGAAAAAATTCGCAGTTTGAGATAGGCAAGAAGTAAGGCATGTAGCAACATCAGCACGGCAAAGGGCACTCATTTAAAGCCAAGGAAGGGCAAAAATATTTTAAGTCAAGTGATAGCGATTGCTGTATGAGTTGTACGATTTTTGAATCAAGCATGGGCAACGCCGGGCCATGCTGCTATATATATATATATATATATATATATATATATATATATATATATATATATATATATATATATCGGTTGCGATGAGTAAATTATCGCCATTTTATATTTTTAATTTGGTGCATGCGTGTTGTTTGTGTTTGATTTTATCGATTGCATAGTATAGTAGGTCAGTTTGGAACCATCTGTGAGAAAAAACAACCCCATGAAGCAAGGATTATGGCAGCATTCGCCAACTTCAACAAAGAAAACGTCTAGAAAAATTGAAGGAGATTCCAAAGTTGTCTGGAGGCCGTGGTTGAAGCCAATGGCGATTTTAGATTTGCTTTTTAGTATTTTAAGGTATTTTTGTGTAATTTTATAAATATATCTGTTAAAATGAAATGTCAGAATTCTGGCTTAATCTAGACGGCAATTTATCCATCGCATCCTGTGTGTGTGTGTGTGTGTGTGTGTGTGTGTGTGTGTGTGTGTGTGTGTGTGTGTGTGTGTGTGTGTGAATATTTACATAAAAATATACATCGTGTAACGAATAGAATCTTCACTTATCTCTCCCTATTCTGAGTTTTACGGAAATTACATTCACTCGCCAGAGGGCTTGATAGTAAAATTGTCGCACTAAAGTGCTAAAAATTGTTCGGTTTAGATAAGTTTTATATTATTCAAGAGTTTTCCTTATGGCTCGGGATGTGAGTAAACTGTTAATCTAGTAATGGTTTCAATATGTCCTGTGAGTATCAAATTTTCCAAGCCTCTTTCCTCATTATGTGTTCTAGAAATTTCAAACATCTCTGATGTTAAGTATAAGTGTCCATTTTGTTTCCATTTTCTCTAAAACTTCGTCGTTACTCACATGTTCAGTACCAGTATTTCCAGCATCTTTCTGTAGAACCACATTTCTGTTGCTTCAAATCTCTTCTTCATCTTTGAGGAGATTGTCCAGCATTCACTGCCATATAGGAAGAGACATATCACGTAACTGTTCAGTACGCTTTTCTTTGTTTCTAATCAAATTTTTTTTCTGTTTCTTAATACTTACTTTTTGGAAGGAATCTTTCGCTCTCTCAAAGTGCCTTCGGATTTCAGTGTCGCACTTTCCGTCCCTCTGTTAAAACACTTCCCAGGTATTTAAATTGTTGTACTTGTTTTGATCTTGCTATCTCCGATTTGCAGTTTGCATGTTGGGTTGTCCCTTTTTTTCTAACAAACATGCATTTTGCCATCTTACAGTTTATGTTTGTCGCTTTATTCTTGTTTTCCGACACTATGTCCTGTAAGAGATATTGTTGTTTCCTTTCTCTGAATGCTGTCAACACTTCGTCATCTACACATCTTACGTTGTTAAGATTGTGGCCGTCAGTAATGAATCCTGGTCAGTCAGTTATGTGCCATGCGTGCAAGTGTAAGTGTCACATAGTTTTTACTTTTCGATACATGACCGTCTAAGCCGAGGAAGATTTTCCCGCAGTAGACCAGTTGCCATCCAAGTCTGTCCTGCCATTTATCCACAGCTGAGGAGAGAAGAGGATTCATATATTTCCCAAATGTGTTATTGGCACGTCAATAATGAATCTTGATAGGACATCGCTTTACTGTATAGGTCGAATAAGTCCTGTTTTATACTCCTTTCTATATATATGTATATTCATTGAATTCATTTTCTATCCGTATGCAGACGGTTTGCAACCAGTGTAGGTTCTGGATTATTCTAACATTCTTCCTGAATATGTCAAGGTTACCTAATAGTTTCAGAATACTTGATGAACAGACTATGTTTGACGTCTTGGCCTATG